GATATCAAAAAAGTACTCCAGAGTGTTGTTCAGCATGGGGGTGAGTAGAAAATGAAGGCTAATCATGTTTTGGGTGTACTATTCCTTTAAACTGGTTCCTTAAAGAGTTTCTGATCAGGGAGATTAAAAACAGTCAGATTAGGTTTGGATCGAGGTTTAAGGCCCTAAAACTAGTCTGATCAGTACTTTCTGTTTCTGTCCATGATTATCACTCAGCCCTATTCTGTTTTTTTTTACGATGATCATTTTATCATGTTGTCTTGTTCAGGACTGGTACGATGAAGGAACACCCGCTGTCTTCTGGATATCTGGGTTTTTCTTCACCCAGGCCTTCCTCACAGGCAGCCTGCAGAACTATGCCAGAAAACACAGCATTCCCATCGACCTGCTGGGCTTTGACTTCCAGGTCCTGGACGACGGTCAATATCTTCACCCCCCAGAGGACGGTAGGCCGCTGCAGCAGAAACAGACCGGAGGCTTAGCTTTAGTTAAAAGAAGGAATCTTCCATCTCCTGTCAGAATCAAACTAAAGAAAAATGGAAGACTAAGAATAGAAAACAAAACTACATCAGGCTGAACTGTTAGAGAAGCAGAGATAAGTAGGAAGTTAAAAGAAAAACCTCTTTGCATTCAGCTCTGCATCAGCTTCACTGTGTCTGCAGCTCAAATGTGAAAAAGTCTCATCCTCAATCAGCCCCCAGCTGGGCCCACATCATGCTAACGCTGCTAACGCTGCTGAGCTGCAGCTCCCACAGTGAATCTGTGATGCTGAAGCCCGGCAGACAGTCGGTGGGTTTACTGCCAGTCTGATAAAGATCGCTCCGAACCAATGATGTCTCTTTTGTTAGGTGTTTACATCAGAGGCCTGTTCCTAGATGGCGCTCGCTGGGACAGAGACGGCAACTGTCTGGCAGAGTCCTTTCCCAAAGTGCTGCACGATGCCATGCCGGTGGTAAGGAGCTCTCACACACAGACGAGGGGGATGATCCATCCGCTGATTGCTTTAGAAAAAATCCTGAATCTGCTGAAATCAGTCATGATCTCAGGTCTGAAATCTGAAATCTCTAAATAGAGTTTTATTCAAATGTGGAGCAGATTTTCACATAAGTTTCAGTGATTAACCAGGATCAAATTTCCAGGTCAAGAAGAATTTAGAAGAAGTTCAAGTACTTCTAGTCTGGCTTTATGAAAACATGACCAAATACTAACAAACCTGTATCAGTTGAAAACATTTTACACACTGGGAAAACGATCCAGAAATAAGTAAAAATGGCTTAAATTAAGTTTATTTATCCTTAATTTGAGTAGGTAAATGAGAT